GGTCATCCCAGCTGGAGGAGAAGCTGAAAGGGGTCGAGGCCCACAACCGGGAGCTGCAGGACTTGATAGCCCGGCAGCTCGATGAAATGGCCAATCTTTCAGCAATTGCCGGGAGGGCCAAGGCAGAGACCCTCCAGCTGAAGGAGGAGAACCTGAAGCTGGCGGAGGACCTGGAGCTTAAGGAGCGAGAGTTCCCCGGCAAGGCCAAGCAATGGGTGGGGGAAAACTTGGAGGAAACGGCCCAGGTGATTACTTCTACCCCCGAGGTGACGATGGAGGCCTTCAAGTTTATCTACCGGGAACCCAACGGGAAGGAAATGGTCACCCAGGTCGGGTCCTATGGTTTCATGTCCGGGCAGAAACGAGACCGGGAGGCTACCCACGCTATCCTGGCTGACCGGGACCCGGCCTTCTCTGCCGATGCTTATGGCCTGACGCCCATCCCCGACGAAGAACCCGAGCCCCCTTTCCCCCTCAAGTAATCTTCCCGGCTGCAACCGGTTGAATTATTTTGTAAAACTTCAAACTCGTTCTCCCGGGAATGCCCGGTGTATCTGTAAACATTTGACATGCTTGTTCCGTTTGAATGCAATGCTTAATTTGCGTACCGGTTAATCTTTCATATCTGCTTGCTTGTTGATTGATACTTTGATCTTTGCCTCTTAGAACGCCATCATAGGATACCCGACCGGTATAGTAATCAATCACCATACTTCCTTTGACCGGTATTACTTCAAAGTTCTCTCTGGTCACTTTATTTCAAGGGTCAGCCCGAGAAACTTTGACCGGTTAAACATCAATTTTTGCTTTTCGAACGTCTTCACCGTTTCGGCCAACTTTAAAAGTTTGACCGGCAGAATTTTACTCTTGTCTTTTGGATGGCTTCACAAATTCTTTTGGTAGGGTGAATTCCCACTCCACGGTTTGACCGGGCAACTGCCTTGCCTTATGACGGACGTGGAACTTTCGAAGTTTTGTTGTGCCCATACCCGACCGGGGTACTCTTTTTTTTTTTATCGGTAGGTTGTAGATGGAAACACCTGTAACCTAGAAATTCTTGTAGTATCCTTAACCGGTAAGAATACTGGAGATTTAACCATGTCGAATGGTTTCGAACCCTCTCCAAGGTTCAAATGCACCCTTCTTCCAGGGCCCCCTCTTCCGGGTGATTAAGTCTTTTAATGGATCTTTGATTTCTACCATCCCGGGAATGCCTTAGCTCACCCCCCCGTTCAAGTCTTTCCTGAGAAGGGGGATGTAGGATGCGCCACGGTGGACGATCCCCTTCTATTTCTTTTAATGGGCATCTTTTTAGTCCCCAATCAATCTGACGGCGTCGGCTGATTCCCCGACACCAGTCAAACCTCATGGGCCCGTGTAAGTACGGTTCGAACCCTCTTCCAGGTCCAGCCCTCTTGCAGGCATACCCTCTTCCGGGCCCCTCTTCTGGGTTTTGATATTTTTTCTATTATACTGAGCAAGACTGGTGTAGTAACCAGCGTGCCAGGTCCGGGCCTGTGTCTCAGTTGGCTTAGCCAAGTGGATTCGATCCACCCAGGAAGCCCTCTTAGGATAGGTTCGACCTATCAATCCTGCTGCCACCAAATAGAGTATTGAACATCATCGGTTTGATTGATAATAAAGTAGGCCTTGCCTAGTATTACAATCATTTGTAGAACTTGCGAAGATGATGGGAATTCCAGGTTCTTTCCACCGGTACCCCTTCAAGAGTTTCTAACCGGTATGTCCCCGGGCGAATGATGGCTCTAACCCTATATGGGCCTTCCCAGTTTTTTGCTAGCTTTCCCCCGTCGCTGGGTCTACTTGCTTCTCTTCTTCGTAGGACCTCATCCTCAACTTGAAAGTATCGCGGCCCGACCTTGTTATCATGGTACTTCTTCACAACTTGTTGGTATGTGCTCATTTTGACTTCCGCGGCCATTCTCCGCTCTTCGACCAAGTTGAGTTCGGCCAAGTGATCTTCCTCATTCTGCTGGGGTTGATAATTTGACTCCCGAAACGTGGGGAATTCAGCTTCGATGGGCAGCCTTGCTTCACACCCATAGGTTAGGGAGAATGGAGTTTCCCCGTGNTGCCGGTTAGACCGGGAGCGCCGGGTGCGGGCAGGCTCGGCCTCCCGCACCTCGCCTAGCCGGGCGAATGCGCTGACATGGGCAACGCTCTGCCCCAGCCTTTGCTTGGCTGACTTCCTCTGGCCTTCCTCCCTATCCCCCAGCCTTTCGAAGGCGGAGTTTCGGGAGGTCGCTGGCCGGATGTTTTTTCCTTTCTTCTTCTTGTGGGCCCTCGGGATGTCCCACTCGCCCTCATCGCTCTCAATTGAGACGCAATGACCATCAGGAGTGATCTGCGGATCCGTAGCTTGCGGGGGACGCGACGGCCCTACAGCGTTAAGTGCACCGGCCAAGTTGACAGGGGCCATGGTGCTGACCAGCTGGGGCTGGAAAGGTGATGGCTGCGGCATCGGCGTCTGGAACGACGTCACCGCCATCGGAGCTTGTAGGGGCATGGTCCCCGCGCCTAGAAGGGCGAATGGGAACATACCAGGGAGGAAAGGCATCCCCCCGTTCTGTTGGCACATGGCCATGACCTGGCCAAAGCCCTGGATGGCTTGTAGGTTGGATGGGTCATTCATGAACTGAGTCATGCTTGGTGGGAACGTTACCCTCGGTCCAGCGGAAGGGACGGGGGTCACGAAGGGACTGATCACGCTGGCCGTCGGGACAGAGCTCAGGCCCAGAGGCAGCACCGGGGCTGAAATGACCAGTATGGTGGCAGCCACAGGGACGCTGGCTCCCTCGTTGGTGGCCTGCACCTGAGCGGAAGTAGCATTGATTTGTTGGCTGGAAGACATTTCGAGTGGTGTTTTGGTGGGTAGGTTTGTGTTCAGGAGAAGAAACCTTAACGGTCCCACGGATGGCGCCAAAAATGATGGTGTAAATTACTTGACCGGTCAAACTATACTAGACCGGGTCTAGAATAGTTCGCTTGATTTGGCAAAGTAAGAAAGGTAAAAACACGCAAAGTGACCGGTAGGACTTTAGGTGGAACACCTGTAGCCCAATTTATATTATAACGGAGAATGCACGGGTGCTTTTACAAAGGAGTTTAGAGAGTGAAATTCGGATCCCCTCATTCGAGAGTTACAAGAGGTATATATACTAGGCTGGGGAGCAGGACCACGTGCGCCCACGTGGGAGCATGCTGCTGGCGTGGTGTGAAGTGACTGGCTCTGCCTTGTCATCTTGCGCGGCGGGTGGCACCCTTGCCGCGTTCTGGTTTGGAAATATTCCCTCAGCATCCCTGCAATTCCAAACACTACAGTCCAAGTCCTTTTGGACTCCTCTTGCCGACACTTCCCCAATCTCTAGGAACTACACCGGTTGGTTCTTGCAGGCTGGCGTGGCCATCTTTGTAGGGTGAATTAGCCGCCAGTATAGGTTGACCGGTATACTATCCCAACCGTACCGGTCAACCTTTTGGTCAACCAGTCATCCCTTCGCCGACGATCTAGACCTCTCTTGCAAGTTTGACTTCTTTGACCGGTCAACTATCCGGTCTTGACCGTTGACCGGTCATGGGTGAAATACACCCATCAGGTAGTGTTTGGCAACTAGCATTTTATTTCAATTCATGTATTTCAATTCCAAAATTTGAAATTCTGAATTTTAAATGACAAGGGGAAGTGCATGGATTTCAAATTAAGCATTGTTTTAAATGTAAAGAATTTGATTCAAATCCAAATTCAAAATGTTTAAGTTTTCCAAACATAGAATTTAAGCCAAATCCGGATTTGAAATCTAAATCCATGTTTCCAAAGATACCATTAAGAAATTCAATAGACTACTCTCTTAGGTTTAAAAAAGTACAGTAACTTTAAAAGAAGTAAGAAAATAAATTATTGGAGTACATAATTCTTTATGGACTATGTGAATTTTTTAAAGAAAAAAAATGAAGAGGAAATAAAGTACATCGTCCATTCTCTTCATTTAAACCGTCTCGCGGAAGGCCGAGTTCTATATATAGGAAGAATTAAAACGGGAACGGGGACCAAGTCAGATTGAAGGGAAGAAAAGAAAAAGAAAAAATTGACGGCATGAGAAACGCTGTTAGATGCTGCATCTCTTGCATCCTCCCATGCGGAGTCCTGGACGTGATTCGGATAGTCCACACAAACGGCCGAGTCGAGGAGATTAACGGCGACGTCACGGCGGCGGAGGTCATGAAACTGCACCCCAAACACGTCCTTAAGCAGCCCTCCCCTCGCTCCCCGGACGACCCCTGCCGCAAGGTTGTCGTCGTCCCGCCGGAAGCCGCCCTCCAGCGCGGCAAGATCTACTTCCTCGTGCCGGCGCTTTCTCCGTCGGGAAAGCCCGCCTCTAGATCCTCCACCATGACGAGAAAGAAGCGGGTGTTCCCGGCGGAGAGGCGGAGCAAGGCTGCTAGTGACGCCGCGTCGGATCAGTACTTGAGCGAGATCCTGTCGGAGAAGATCTCCACGGCGGCGCCGGGAGATCGCCGGCGAGGCCGTGTGGGAATTTGGAGACCTCATCTAGAGAGCATTTCTGAGACTCCAAGTGAAGCTTAGTATCCATTCCGTTTTGAGTTTTTTCTATGTGTGTGGTTAATTGGTTTGTTTAATTATTGTACATTCATTTTCGGGAACATCGTCCAATTGATTAGGAATTTAAGAAGATCAAGTTTCAACTTATTATCCTTTCAAAAAAAATCAACTTCTTATCTTGGAGCACTGGAAATATCCATGGGAAGCTGGGGGCTTCAAACCTTCTCTCTGCCATCTCATCTTTAACTTAACTCACAGTTTCACTGGAAATGAGTTTGAAGCCTCGGAGCTTCAAACTGGGGCTTCAAACCTTCATTTTTTACATTTTAAATACATATCTTCTAAAATTAAATTCATTAAATTTAAATATTTAATTATTTAAAAGAATTGAAACGAGAATAGTTAATTAAAAAAATTGTATTCATTATAAAAATTACATTCATTAAATAAAAAAATTATATTCATTATAAAAAACTACATTCATTTAATAAAAAAATTATATTCATTAAATAAAAAATTACATTCATGAAAAAATGAAAAATAGTTGAATAATACTCCCTCCGTCCCGTGAAACATGGGATGTTTTGCTTTTTGAAGAGATTTAAAAGAGTGTATTTTGATATTGAATTTCCAAAAATGTCCTTTGATGTGATGGGTAAAGTTGGATTTGATAGGTAAATTATTGGTAAAAAAAGTATGATGTGATAGGTAGGGTATGAAAAAGTAAGGGATAAAAGTGGCTTTTTAATAGAAATGAGAAGTGTTTTATGAGACGGATGAAAAAAGAAATGAGAAAGGTTTTATGGGACGGAGGGAGTAATTTTTTAAAAAAAGATGATAGAGAAATTTGTATTTGTGTTGAATTTTAAAAAAAATTAATATAATTTATAGAGAAGAAAAGAAGAAAAAAGAATGAGAAAAAAGAAGAAAGGGGCGTTATCACGCCTTCAAATTGCGTCAAAACTATGACGCGAGAGTTTTAACGCCCCGATAACGGGAGAGGGGGGCGGTGTTTAACGCCCCCAGGCGTCAAAGTCAGTATAACGTGGTAGGGTGTTACGCTCATTACCACTGCCCTTAAAATTCATTAATTGATGTGTAATTTCTGAGACAAAACTTAGTTTGTACTGACATTATGAATGTATTTAATTTTTCTAATCTCTATATTCATGCTTAGAGCATTGGAAATGCCCATGACGCCCACCCCGTCATACGGGTGTGTAGTGCCTTCAAGGCGTTAAACACCGCTAAGGTCGAATAACGGTCGGTTTCGATTTGAAACCGAAAAAACTAATTTTTTTAAGATAGTTGAAACCGACCAAACCGATCGTGAACTAAAATCGACCGATCAAAATCGAAAACCGCCCATACAACAAAAAATCGACCGAAAAATTGAATTTTAATTACTTCTATTTTGACTTTTTAATATAAACTCAAGTAACTAATTCGACAAGGTAGATTGATATGTATTAAATTAGTTTAGATTAACACTTTTCTATTTTCATTAATTAGTAACATAGATTAATGTTTATTTAAAAATACACTATCCATTTCATATAACAACTGCACTTGCTTTTCTTATTAATATGTTCAAAACATTAACAAATAATCTTCTTACTAGTGAAACAATAAAGTTTTTCATGGAAAAGTAAGAAGAAAGCATGTGTGTTAATCAAATATTTTCTTATTCTAAAAAATAAAAAATAAATTAAAATAAAATCATCAGTTATTCGGTCAGTTCGGTTTTTCTTACAAAAAACCGAAAATCAACCGAAAAAACAAAAATGCTTTTTGCATGAAAACCGAAATCGAAATCGAACTTTCGGTTTTTGATTTTGCAGTCGATCCGGTTAATTTGTTCACCCCTAAACACCGCCCATGAGCCGTTATAAAGGCGTTAAGCTTTAGTGATTCTATGGTGGACCTAATATCCTTATTGACTTTCTCACATATTTTTTTAATTTTAAAAGTTCTTACTCCCTCCGTCGAATAACGTTCTTCCCGTTTCTCTTAAATGAGATTTGACCGACTTTATTTCCAATTCAATTTATTTGATTGTAGGTGTAAAATTAAAATATAAATTTATATATTTAATAACTAAATCAAAAATTTTATAAAATAAGAAGTGACAAGACTATATTATTTTATCAAATAACTAACAAAAATAGGTAACGAAAGTGATTAAAGTTTAACCGTGTGAATAGTAACTGAGATGAACATTTTAGGACAGAGGGTTTGTTTCAATACTTGAAAATGTTTATTTAACATATATGAAAGTCCACCAAAGACCTTAGGCGCATGTAATAATTTGCATAAGCCTTATATGTTAAAAATTTAACGTGGCTGAAGTGTAGGAAAGAGTCATTGCCCAACCCCATGGTACGGTCCAAATTATGGCCATTGCCATTTTAAAAAAATTAAATTTCAACTATAAATACCCTGTAATGTCCTGAAAACGCTTAATAGTTAGCCGTATGTTGAGAAAATAAACATATTATATATTTATTTATTTTGACACAAGAATATAAACTATTTATAAAGTCAACATTTTTATTCAATTTTGATGTTGTTGGGCAGATCTTGCGAAAAAAGGACCAACCAGGCATAATTTGTTGAGTTTGGATTTGTGTATAGAAGGACATGAGTAAAATGGTTATTGGAGTACATTAAACAATTGGAAAGGTTTAATTCTAATCTTTTAAATAAAAGATTGAATTAGGGAGGTTGTTGTATATACACGAAGTACCCGTACGGTTTTTGTTCTTGTTCGCCTCATTCTTGTTCGCGATGCTGAATTTCTATCCGAGGAACCACCGGCGACGGGGCGAGGGCGCGACTGGTAACAGCTCTTGCGACCGCCAGTGACGGAGGCGGGGACCCTGTGACGTTGGCGGCAGTGTCCATTGAGCCCAGGCAGCAGTAGCAAAGTCAAACACCCCAGCAAACTCCGATCAGCGAATTGACCCGGACAATGGCGACGGTGCTTCCGGCGAAGGACCTCCAGCGACAGGCAATGTCTGGCATTGATCGGCTGAGTTCAGAAAACGAGTCGATTCGGCCAGCAGAGGCAGTTTCGACGATTGCTCCGAGCTATTTCCCTTGAAATCAAATCAAAACAAATTGAGGTGAGTACATGGACATCTAACGCTAGCATATGCAAATTCTGTTCCTAATTCTTATCGTGGTTGATCTATTTGACTTATCTGAGTGATTGTTGATGGTGGTTCCGGAAATTGTTGTCGTTAAACCAAAAAGGATAGTATGCATGATTTAGATGTTGTTTGACCCCGTAATGCGCTTGATATTTTTAGGAATGAGCTTTTGTACATATTGATGCCTATTGGTGTGTAGTTGGTATTGGTTTCATTGCTCTGGTTCAAATGGTGCAGGAACTGTAAATTGTTACATCAAACTGTTGGCGGTATCGACGAGATGGTACCGTGCTACCGCCACACTCTGTTTCCTCTGCTAGTAGCTGTGACCGTTCGATGCCTAGGTACCATACGGACAGTAGGCCCTACCACCCGATCGGTAGTCGGATACCGTGACAGTCCTACGGGAAGAGTGCAACTATCTTGGACGGTACCCTAGTACTGTAGGGCCGGCACCCAAATACCATGGGGACTGTACCCCGTACCGTGACAAGTACCATCTGGTACTTAATTTCAGGTCTGTTAGTTGTGTTTCTGTCGAGGATTGATTCTGAGACTTTGTGTGTTGCATGCCGATAAACATGGGTGTTTACACCTAGTTTTAGGCCGTTATTTGGGTAGCAAGAGCATCCTAGAGATCGGCAGAAGTAGTAAAGCCCCGAGCATGTTTGTGAACAGTAGGGCTTATAAGAGCAAGGAGTCGTGCACGTATCTGAGTGTCGATCATAGACCATGTAATGTACTCATGATTAGGGTGTACCTTCCCATCGATCCATCCTAGAAGATGATTAACGTCGAGGGTAGTCCTGACATTAAGGGACCATGCAGGGTAGTTTGAATATGTGAGTTTTTTGCGAACAAGATTATGGAAATTAAGGAGTAGAAGTTTGACTCCGGAAGGAAGGGAAGCGAGAGGGTTAGACATGGAGGCCATTACTGGCAGTCCATCGACCGGCGACTAGGCTTGGATGAAAAAGAAGGAGACTAGCTTTTCGAGAATCTTTTCTCTGATACCATGATACGATTTGATAAAATATTAATCTCTTAAATAATGAACTCTCAATGAGTATTTATAGTACATCGTAGAGAATCCTAAATAAGGTAGGAAGAGAAATATGGAAATAAAAGAATAAGGAAATTAATCAATATTAGGATTCTATTCCTATTAAATACAATTTGGTAATGATTAATCTTATTGAGTAATGAAGAATACATCCCTATATATAGGGATTACAAAGGAAAATTCTAAAGTAAGTAGGAGAAGAGTTATAGTAACAACACAAAAAGGAAGTAATTAATAAGACATGTAATAAATAATAATATTCTATTTCCTAATACATCTATTATTCCTAATATCCTCGGCAAGTTGATCATCAACAACGAGGAGCAGCTTGGAGTATATGTACTGGAATCAACCCGAGGGAAGCAGTTTTGTGAAGATAGCCTCTAGAGGTAGAGAGTCAGATCTTTGTTGAATGATGAATGAGCTTGAGATTACATTTGCTAAGTTTTTTTGGTGAGAGTGTTGGCGATTGGAGCGAGGGCCAGGACTTTCTTTTTTCTCTTTTTGGGTCGTTCTCTGCTAATCTATCGCTTTCCATGCTCTCAATATCTAGAAAAAACACAAACAAATGTAACTTTCGTGTTCTTCGATCACATACATGATTTTTTGGAAGAGAGAGAAATAATGAATTTCTTCGAGAGAAAGAAAGGGATAATGAACGGGCAGCTGTTAGACACGCTCTTCGAGATTTGTCGACGCCATGTTGTCAGCTGGTCGAGTTCCATGAACAGAAACTAGCGATGTGCTCGATCGGAAAATGAAGAACTGGGTGTTTGAGAATCTTAGCTCCGATACCATGATACAATTTGATAATAATTGGTCTTATTTAATAATGAAGAATACATCCACACACACATATGAATTACAGGAGAGAATTCTAATATAAGTAGAAAAAGATTTATAGTAACAATACAATAGTGAAGTGATTAATAAGGAAGATTTATAGTAACAATACAAAAAGATTTATAGTAACAATACAATAGAGAATTCTATATTTCCTAATGCATATATGGGCGAGGAAGATTTCAACTAGATTAATTTAGGGGTTATTTTATGCAAATGTTAAATTCCCATAAATTTCATGTTTGGGTCAATTAAGTGTTGGTGATTTTAGTGTCATCGGCTATTTTGTGTGATTGGATTTACTTACATAAGACAAGAATTTGAATAGACATTTTCAAACGAATTAGGAGGCACGGAGTGCGCACTCGCTCAACGATATTACAAAGGGAAATTTACCTAATTAACACTAAAACATAATGGTTTTTCATAAATAGCATCATATGTGTTTTTTCCCAATGTAGCACTTTTAGTCATTATCCATTAGTCATTATCCATTAGTCATTATTTAAGTAAATATTCGTCATCATTGGCCATTATTTTTCTTTCTAGACATTATTAAGTGCTATTTAGGGAATAAAACAATTTAAGTGCTATTTAAAGAAATGATTTAAGTTTTAGTGTTATTTAGTGCAAATATTTCTATTACAAAGTCATAGCGGGGGTCCGGAGCAGCTGCCCCCCGGTAGCGTGGTCCAAGCTAAGGGTGGTAGAGCCTGTCAGGGTCTGAAATCGTAAAGATTTGGACGTACGATTAGACGTAAAAATTGTCCAAAAAACCGAAAGGAAAACTCGCGTGAACACTTGCGTCCTTTAACAGAAGTTCGGTTCTCTCCCTGTTGCGCGAATGTTCACTTCCTTTACGCTCTGGTCGCCAAAATCTCCAACTCTATAAAAGAAGTGATTTGAAAGACTTGTTTTTGATTGAAGTTTTGTGTGATTAAAGTATTTTGATATATCCTGCAATAACTTTGATCTGAAAGTATATTCGTGATTCATTAAACTGTCAAGTTGTAATTCTCATTCTTCGTTTTATTAATTCTTCAACACTGCTTCGTTGCGTTAATCCTCCTAAATTTCTAACATAGAGGAGGCTAGGGAGATTTCAACTTGATAAATTTAGGGGTTATTTTTCTCCTTTCCTATCTTAAAACATAAATACAATAAGAGTGGTCTTATTTAGAGAAAAGTGTCATGCTTTGGTCCTATTCTAGAAACTTTCTCATCTCAAAATTAAGCTTCAAGTATATTTTTAATTAAATACTCCCTCCGTCCCAAATTATTTGCCGCATTTGCTTTTTCAACAGTCGCGGGAACTTTTATTTATTTCTACGTTTTCATTGGTTATTTAATAAAATAAAATATTCTTGACACCTCTTATTTCGAAGAACTTTTCATGTAGTTTTTTGATATGTAATTTTTATTTTTTATTTCTTTGTCAATATGTAAATAAAATGAATTGAAAAAATTTAATATTTTACCTCGGTAATAGAAATGTGACAAATAATTTGAAACGGGGGAGTAAGTATAATTAGAGATGATGGATAAAATGATGAAGCTAAGACATTTGGATTAGACTTTGGTTAGGTCTTAGCTTAAATTTGCTTTAAATTTTGGTAAATGCAGAAATTAATTTGATGGGGGAGAGGTGATGTACTCGTAATTAACATTGAATGTCGTCCCTACAAATATTCTTTTAAAGCATAGAGCCATAGAACAATAATAATGCAATGGTAGCTTGTACGGTAGCGAATGAGTGTGGGAGGGAATGAGGACGTCTTTTAAGGCATTTTCTGATTGATAGATTGATTTAAATTCAGACTTTGGGTATGATAAATTATCATCAAATCAAAATGGGATTCAATTATTTTGATGAGCCTACCCACCCAAAAGCAACCTGAAAAAAGTTATCTCTGATGGGACGATCGATGGATGATGGACTTCAACCAGTTCGTTGTTGAAGTTTTTTACGGAGTTACCTACGTGCGAACCAACAGCAGTTACCGTGTGCAAAACAGTTGCTTGCTAAAGTTGTCATCAAATTCGTGTAACCATCTGTTAGAAGTTTTTTTATCGATTACTCCACAACTTATATTCTAAAACATTTGAAATACTCCCTCTGTGCCATAAAGATTGGTAAAATAAAGATAGATAATTTTGTGTTGACTTTCTAAAAATACCTTAGATGTGATGGATAAAAATAGAATGTAACGGGTAGATTATTAAGAAAAAGGTATGATGTGATAGGTAGGATATGAAAAAGTGAGGGGTAAAAGTGGTTTTTTAATAGAAATGGGACGAACTTTAAGGGACGCAATTTTTTTTGAAACGGGACTGACTTTATGGGACGGAGGGAGTAGTTTTTAAATCCACCCTCTTATTCGTTCTAAAATGCTTGTCACGTTGTACAAAATGAAGAGAAATTTTAAATTTTTTCAATTCATCTCATTTAAAGATTGATATAAAAGTAAAAAAGTAAATTTATATATTTAAAAACAATGTAAAAAAATTTTAAAGCAAGAAGTTGCAAAAATATTTTATTTTATCAAATAATTCATGAAAATATACAATTAAAAAAATTTCTTGTGATTTTTGAATATTGAAATGTGACTTTTTTAGATAAAAAATATATAAGTTGTACTTTTATGTTACGATAGAAAGAGGCGCAAGAAGGGACCGAATCTCAAAGGGATTCAGTTTGTTGTTTTTCTATTTTAGTTTAACTTTTGTTTTAGAAGAAATAGAATTATAGTATGAATATAAATTTACTTATTTACTTTACACTCCTCATATATGAAGAAGTTTGAATCTTTGTAATCTCCAAGACAAGTCAATATATAATTATTCTCCTTTATTATTTTCTACATGGTATCGAAGTAAAATTCTTGGTGACCTAAAATTTTCTTTCTTCGCTCTTGGCGGGTGGCACAGCCATTAGCTGTATGTCAGACCGTTGTTCTTCCTCTAACCTAAATTTCTTACCCCCACCAAACCGACAACACCCAAAACCTAAACTCTACCTATATCGAATCACTAGAATCACTACCATTCCATAGTCTTTTTGCCCATCACCTTGTCGCAAAAACAAATCCATATTAGTTCGTGGAAATTAAAGTATCGCACCAATTGTCAAGATCTCTTTGGCCGCAAGTCACTCTGGTCATCCTTAGATGGATGTATTTCTCAATGAAAAATATAACTCATGAAGAAACAATCCAACAAGGATTGTTTTGCAGAAATGAGGACTACAATCTCTTCAAGGTGAAAGTTAAAAAAACTAGCTTTCCGGATGTTCGAAAAGAATGATGTCTATGCTGTTCATTTGAATTTGGTGAAGGTTTGAAAAGAATGATGTTCCTTTACTCGATTGATTATTCGGTGGATGTGAAAAGAGTGGCGTCTCCATTGAAGAAGAAAAAAGATTATTTGTTGAAGTGTTGAGATGATACTTGAACAAAGATCATTTGATTATGTGTTGTCCAAGCTGGGTTCTCGTAATCCTCACGCTCCAGCTTGAGGGGAGTTTATGATAGAAAGAGGCACAAGAAAGGATCGAATCTCTAAGGAACTTAGTTTGATATTTTCCTATTTTAGTTTAATTCTTGTTTTAGAAGAAATAGAATTATGGTAGGAATAAAAGATTATTTATTTGTTTCACACTTCTTCTATATAAAGAGAATTGAATCTTTGTAATCTTCAAAACAATTCAATACAAAATTGTTCTCCTTTATTATTTTCTAGATTTTATTTTTGTACATTTGCAAAAAAATCATTTTAAATGAGATGAGATTTTAAAAAAGGCAAATAATTAGAGACTAAAGAATACGAAATTAGATATGCCATATGTAATACCGTATCCGTATTAATAAAATATTTTTATAAAAATGGAGTAAATTTTTTCAAATGACGAATCTACTTTAACAACATTTTACTTCATGTTGTCAACAAAAAAAATATTTATGTATATCTATATAAAAAGATCTTCCAATGTAAAAAAAACTAGAATATAACTTTGGTATATATAATTTTAGAAAGTAAGTAGGAACATATTTTTATTACATTCTTGTATTTTTTGGAAATTCAAAGTATATATGTGAAGTTAATTTAAAGTAAATATTTTTAAACAGAGAGCAATATTTGATTTGCAAAAAAAAACTCGCGTATTAAATTTTTAAATTAATTTTAGAAATGTATACGATTAGTATAGTGTGACAATTCTAAGGAACATGAGGTCTTTTGTTCACATTTGCATAAAGGGTAGAATTAGAAATATGAAGTATTTTTTACACATAAAAAGCTGATGACAAATGACCCTCTATTTTTAAATAATGACCTACTTGGTATACTTGTATAAAACCTTTTAGACAAATTTAGAAGTTTACAAAAGAAACACAATTTGGAAATAACTTTGAGCCAAAATGAAATTTACACGAGCATTAAGGAGAACTATACAATATACATGTAAAAAAACGAAGTATGCATTGAGGAGAGCCTCTGTCAAAGAAAATGAAACCTCACAAGAAATTGTGTCCTTCAAATTAAAAGGTAATGGACCCTACTTTTTTTTTTCTCTCCACAAAATCCCTCCAAGGCTTGCTACCAAAACTACCACCCTATACTACAACAAAGCCATGTCCATTAATGAGAGGGACCCTACTTCTCTACCATCACAAGTTTCCTGCAAAGAGTAAGTGAGAGCATTGATAAAAGAGTGACCCATGTTTCTAAATAAAGGGGAGAACGGAAATGCTCCATGTTAGAATATAAAAAATTATTTCTGGGCCACAACCATAAGCTTGAGCTTTTGGTTGAGTTGGTTCTTTTGATATGGTATCAGAGCCTCGTTGACTAAGAGGTCACGAGTTCGAAACTCAGCACCACCCAATTTTAAAAAAATTAAAGTTTCACGTGCAAGTCTTGAAAAAAAACTACGCCTGCACGTGAGGGGCGTGTTAAGAATATAAATAATTGTTCCTGGGCCACAACCATAAATTTGAGCTTTTGGTTGAGTTGGTTCCTTTGATATCATACACACAACTGGGCTAAAGACTAACGAGCCGCTAGGAATGAACGTCTAGACGGACACCTTGACAAACGAGGTGGGCCAAAACCTACTCTGATACCATGATAGAATTTGGGATATGTATGGAAAACTAGATTGGGCAGTAAGACACTTGAGTTGAACCACATTAAAAGATTGAATCCAACCGATTAATTAGTTCAACTCAAGAGCTTATATACCAATTATTGAACTTTCGATGTGGATGACACTCTAACACTCCACACTATATAAATAAAAATATTATCAAATTAAAGGTGTTGGTTATAAACATACCCCTCAATATAAGCCCTGCCAAGAGTGACTCAAGTGCTCAACTAGCCATTTACACTTTACCTCATATAATTAAAACCACAAACATACCCCATCAATTCATCCTATTCCAAACATCATAAACTCCATCCTAAAGGAAAAAAAACCAACACCTGCATAAGCCAAAATTTCTATTAAGGTGAACATGCAAATATTCTTGAAAAGTAATTAAGGAGGGGCTGCTGATCAAGAACTATCAATGAAGGAATACTAGCATCATAGCAGAGTCATAAACCTCCCAACTGTCATCAAAGTATTATCAGGTGAGTGGGTTATAAATTCATAATATTACATTTTAGCCTATAATTATAAGTTGTTGAACTAACCTTACAATATATATTTTGGCATGAAAGTGATGAAACTTCTGAGGAGACTCATCGTATCGTTGAAAAACTCATTTTTATGACTTTAAAAGAATTTGTTTAAAAAGAGGGGCATTTGATTAACCATTGACAACCTATTAAATTCAATAGAAAAAAAACCAACAAAGTTGAAAGGTAAAGTTGTTTCTAAGGTTGAAGAATTATCTTGAGTACTAAAAGAAAAGTTTAACATACTTTTGTCACCATGGTTTGTAAAAGTACACTCTAAAGTGGAACAAAACCTTATTCTTTGCCACCAAACTTTAGTAAACATTTTATCACCACAAGGAAAGAATTGTATTCTTTCGCTTCAAAGGGGTTTCTATCTTAAATCAAAAATTAAGGAAAATATTTGGAAAAACAAGAAGGTGAATTAGGATTTCAAAACTTGGAGCCCAGATTAAATTTTTTTTCCAGGAAAGTATGATACATGAGTCAAAACAAAGAAAATGAAAGCTTTGTTCCTACCAAAGATTTTTTTGTCATATCTTTCAAAACAAATTGAGTGAATTACCTGTGCTAATAAAAGGACTAGATTTGAGTACATTTTCAAACCAAAAAAAAAAACAACTCTGCCTCATCCAATTTCCTTTAGTTAAGAAAGAGAGTTTCAATCAATAGAGGTTTGACTAAAAACAAATGAGTTTCCAAACCTCCCATAAGAAAAAAAACAAAAAAAGGGGGAAACTTCAACTCCACAAAACCGAACCTGTGCGTTGAAATTAAAGGAAATAAAACCCTAGTATAAATTGGGTCATCTGATATTCTGATTCGGAGCAAAGAATTGATAATTTCTTAAAGAAAATCATGAAGGGTCACCGTCGTACCTTAATTTCGAGTTAAGAATGTCGGTGAAGGAAGAACCTGATGTGGATGACGAAGGGCGACGATGTTGGCTTTGACGGACGATGAAGCTCTCCTTCGAAGTAAACGAACGGCAGGGAAGATGTTTGAGTTAGAATGATAAGGTAGATTTTAACTTTTTTTTTAAAAAAAGGGAAAGAGTAAATTTTGGGTCCTTGTGTAATGGGCCTTAAGTTAAACTGTTTTAGGCTATAACTGTGATGATAAATGTGTTTTAACTTTTAATAAAACACAAGGTTTAACTCCAAAACTTCGAAAGGTTATAAATTGGACATTGTTTTCTTTCAAATAGTTATGCCACGAAATTAAATATACGGATAGTAAATTATAGGATAGAGTATCGTGTCTCCTTCTCGATACAGAATAATAATAATATGTCTCCGTATTCTATATACCGAGATGTTATTATTGAATAAGCCCTATAGGTAAATGGCTTTATGACCATCGGTGGATAAATCTCGGTCGTAGATTATTTTTCATACTGCCTCCCTAAATCGACGCATAATAATAATAGGTACGGGTGTCGGTCGCTATTATTGGGGGACGGGTAGGAAGGATCATGCGTGATTGCTTCCTAGCCCACAAATAAGAGGAGCTATTTTGAGTACGTCCCAAGTGTTAGGGCTAAGCGCCACCACTAAGACTAACACGCCCTAACGCCGAGGTCTTTGGAGATAAGGTTATGCTTTAGTCAGGAATTCCCTAAGGTTTTTCCCAAGGAAATTTTTATTTAAAAAAATACTCCCTCCGTCCCATAAAGTGTTACCCATTTTGACTAAAGTAGAAATTAAGGGAGGGATAAATTTGTGTTGACTTTCCAAAAATATCCTTGATGTGATGTGTAAAAGTAGGATGTGATGTGTAGATTATTAGGAAAAAGGTATGATGTGATAGGTAGGGTTTGAAAAAGTAAGGGGTAAAAGTGGTTTTTTAAAAGAAATGGGTAGGAGATTGTAGGACACAATTTTTTTGAAAGGTGTAAATCTTTTTGGGACGGAGGGAGTATTAATAAATAAGTGATTAATCTTGCGGGATTATTTTCTTCACTTTGATGTGAAAATGAAATCATTGATTTTCAAGATAGATACCTCGGCGGTGTTCTAAGATAACTTGATCAGTTAGTTTGAGCACAAAACAGGGGCTCCCCATTGGGTTATTCGAAAAAAAAAGAAAATTCTAAATCAGTTTCTTTTGAAACAGTTATTCTTGAGAATGAGATATCAGTTTTGAAGCAAAATTATGAATCATTATTTTGAATAAATTTCGAAATTTATAAACACCCACTCACAAAATTTCTTCAAACATATGGTATTAGGTTGAAAGTAAACTTTGAGATACATCGACGTGAATTATGGGATAATTTATTTTAACATTGAAAGTAATAACAAATAATTTTTGTTTAACCCTTGTGATTATGTGATAAAATATAATAGTCTGAATTTTTGGCTCCTCACCAGTACACGATGTGGCATTGTGTACTGACCCCTCCTCCCCAAAACAATTCTTTTAGATTGCAGATATGCTGGATATTGTTTGAAGAAGGCAAAGAACAAAAGTCTATTTTGATATGAAGAAATGGAGATTTTCAACGCTAGACTATGCTCATCATTTTAAAATAATTCATTTGGATTAAAATTTGTATTTCCGATAAACTCTGAGATTCTAAATATATCCTTTTGATATTTACTTATGGATGTACTTAGTGTTATGATTACTTAAACGGGTTGTACGGCGATTGCCACGTCAGTGGATTGCGGTCTGGGTCGTGACACCATATACATATTAAACTTTCCTCGGCAACGGTGCCAAAATTTGTTGAGAACTTGTCGTGTGGTCCAAAACAAATTAAAAATTTATAAAATATCCTTAACTAACCCCCAAAATCTAATCAAATAAAAACTATAGCTAGGGCAAGTAAGGGTCGATCCCACGGAGAAAGTTTGTACTTTTGAAATCATTTAAGCATGCACACACATTGTCACGAAATAAAATAAAAAAAACTACACATATGATAAGAACTTATAAAACTTATAATAAAACTTATAACTATAACTTATATTGATGGGTGTATTTCACCCAAGACCGGTCAAAGGAGGAGTACAAATCTTTGACCGGTCAATCTCGAAAGTTTTGGAAGGGAGACTTTAATCGTCAGCAAAACGATATATCATCGGCCAAAATATGACCGGTACACTTCACAAAAAGTATACCGGTCAAACTACGTTGTCATCCTATTTGTTCCGGACTTCGATAAATTCATCCCTCGGAGACTACCCGGTGTAGTTTTTGGGGTTGGAAAGTGTCGGCAGGAGAGGATCTGCGAGGGTTTGGCGTGTAGCGACCCGTGTCAGCAGAAGACAACTGGAGATGCTGAAGAATCCATCCAAGGCACTACTTGACAAAGGGAATGATCCCCTTCACAAGGCGACAAGGCAGCTTGAGGACGAAACCAGTCACCTCGCACCACATCGGCAGCATGCCCCCACGTGGGCGCACGTGGTCCTGTCCCCTTAGCCTAGTATAAATACTCATCATTTGGAGTCTTTCTCCCTAGGGAATTCACTCTCTCTAAACTCCCTTGTAAAAAGCACCCGTGCATTCTCCGTTATAATATAAATCGGGCTACAGGTGTTCCACCTAAAGTCCTACCGGTCAATTTGCGTGTTTTTACCTTTCTTACTTTGCCAAATCAAGCGAACTATTCTAGACCCGGTCTAGTATAGTTTGACCGGTCAAGTAATTTACACCATCATTTTTGGCGCCACCCGTGGGACCGTTGAGGTTTCTTCTCCTAAACACAAACCTACCCACCAAAACACCACTCGAAATGTCTTCCAGCCAACAAATCAACGCTACTTCCGCTCAGGTGCAGGCCACCAACGAGGGGGCCAGCATCCCTGTGGCTGCTACCATACCGGTCATTTCAGCCCCGGTGAGAAGAATGACCGGGACAAACCCCTGGCAGGGTCCCCGTTCACCACAAGGGTCCATCTCACACCTTTCCCGCGAAAGGTCAAGATCGACGCCCCCAGATTCACCGGGAAGGAAGATCCGGAGATCCACTTGGACTCCTTCAACCAGAGTGCGACCATGAACGGTTGCACCGATGAAGAAAAGTGCCTACTTTTCTTCTAGACCTTGCGGAGCCGAGCCACTGAATGGTTCAATAAGCTTCGCCCGGGAACCATTGACTCGTTCAGTGATTTGGCCTCAAAATTCAAGGCCAAGTTCCAGGAGAATTGTACTAAGAGGAAGAAGTTCACCTATCTTAGTACAGCCGGGCAGAGGGAGTCTAAGAACCTCACTCAGTTCCTTACCCGGTGGAAGGAAGAGGTAGACAAGGTGGAAGAGATGGACGACAAGACCGTCCTCTCCCTCCTCTTGAATGGCTTGCGTGCTGGGGAACTATACAAGGAGTTCTGCCGGAAACCCCTAGCCACGTACCAAGAGGCCTACCATACTGCATGGGAGTTTGCTGAAGCTGAAGCCCAGCTCCGGGCAAAGAGAGAAGCTGAGCATGGTCACAAGCCCAAGCCGGTGCAAGTCAAGAAGGAAGAAGCACCGGGACCTAGCCGGTCGAGGCACCACTATGACCCGGTCATCCGAGTGGTCAATACAGAAGAATGCCAAGAGGTCCGGAAAGCACCGGTCATTCCTCCAGAAAACCCTACCGGTCAAGTAGGGCGATAGTGGTCGGGCACTTATTGTTCGTACCACAGGTCTGATTCCCATAACACCTCCGAATGCAAGAGTGTTAAAGGGGTCATCCGGCAGATGATCGACAGTGGAGAGCTGGGCAAAGATTACTTGCAGAAAGCCCAGGAGAAGAGTCATCAGTGGGTTAGGCCAACTGCCCCAGGGAATGACCGGGACAATGACCGGCGGAGGAATAACCGGCCAAGGGAGCCGCAACCTGCCCCCGAAAAAGAACACATCGGCATGATCTTCGGCGGACCCGAGGGTGGAGATTCAGCCGCGCAGCGGAAGAACTGGGTCCGGAGCATTTACGTGAGAGAAGTAAGTGCTGAACCGCCCAAGCGTAAACATACTAGGAGGGAGCCAATCGTCTTTACTGACCGGGATCTCCCTCCTACCGGTGAAGATCACAATGATCCATTGGTCATCACCATGGACATTAATGGGGTAGATGTCGCCCGGGTACTTGTTGACACCGGCAGCAGTGTCAACATCTTATACCTGGAGACCTTCCAAAAACTCAGGTTGTGTCGAACACAACTTGAACC